TTTGGCTTGCAAATTGGAAGTGCATCTGTGTGTCAATGGTGTGTGGTTTACAATTACTTTTTTAAATAATTGAGACTTGAAAAGACCTCACCATGAGCCAGTTTCTTTAATTGTGGGGAGAGCTTTTATCTAAAAGACTTGCAATATCTTTTACAATAGAAGCCTCTTAATTACAGATTATTCTTTGTCCAGTGATACATTCCAAAAGGGAAACACATTTGTTTGGATATAAACAATAATGAATGGTGTGTGGAAAGTGGTATGTCCCTATGGATGTTTTCTCACAGGAATGTAATTCTGCAGTAGATCTCTGAAGAATTGTGTCACCGCTGTACTTGAGGAGATAACAACAATAACCACTAAAACTAAAGTATTGCCATCTATTGTTAGGCTGTTGTTCCTGTTTTGACCCATTATGCTCTTTCAAAACCATAGATGGTTTCTTTTCCTTCAACCTTTATTCTAATCTATTGTCTAAATATTTAAATAGGAAGCATATTGATTAAGATAACATGGATGTCCTTATGAGTCCTATTCATGATACCTCTATTATTTATGAAAACATGCTTGTTCACCCAACGTTTTCACTTCTATCCCGCCAAGATCTGTTAATTCCTTTATTCCCACTCTCCCACTGGTGTAGAAAAGTAAATACGTTATCCATGCTTATTACTTGTAAAGAACCCATTAAATTATTGCCACCTACATCCCTTTGCAGGTATTTCAGGTTTTTGCTCCAGTTGTTTGTTGCTGTTGACCTTGCTGTTTCTGCAAATATTCTTTAGACAGTCAAAACCTTAACTGCATTTCTCAGCAGGGATTTCTCTGTTCATTTTTATAACTGATCTTAAATCTGAGACTCCTCACTCTTACTGTTTCTGTTGTTTCTATAGCAACTAGATAGGTGGAGATGCAGCAGCATCGCTTTGCTTCCCAGCTGGTGTTTTGTGTTCTCAGCAAGGGCAGAGTTTGAGGAAAATAGAGAGGGTATTAATTCGGATGTAACTGGCTCAGAAGTGTAGTCCTTGTTGAGTTACCTCACCCTTTACTAAGGAGTTAGTTAATTTTAAGCAGGGCGTCTCAAACTTACTTGAATAAAATTATGTCCTCTCAGAAAGAGACATGGTTTACTCTGTGTCACGTTTTTGTCTCTTAGCTTGGGTCTTCGTGTTTTCTTCCACCTAAACCTTGTTTTCTTCATCATGTGGACAGCAGTAAGATTTGTTTCAGGAATGAGACTGGTGCTTATACCTTGCATGTAGCCTGAGCATACATGAGGTACAGGGCTTTTTAACTTCTCTGATTCCCACTTTTTAATCTGATTTTTGCAGCTGTCTAGTAACTATATTATACTAGATTGTGATTCTATAGTAGACTGTTAAGTGACTGTCTCAGAGTAAAATGTTTTGATACTTAAAACCCTACATATCCAGAGATTAGACTAACACATTCTTCATTCTCTAAAAAGCAGAAGTTGTTTGCATTCCCTTTAGCAGTCCTCTCGCTTACCTCACAATGGAAGCCTTCATTACCTTACCTGCTTTCCTGAGGATCTCTAATGCCAATTAATCCCTCTGAAATAAGCCAAAGTCTTTCCTCCGTAACTGAGCACCTGAAGTTCTGCTGCTCTGCCTTGGTGCCGCACGTTTAGCCAAGGCCACTGGGGGTTGGGTTGCTCTCAGCGTGGCTTGCATATCGTGAAGACGCCGGGGAGGTGAGGAGGTTTACTTTTCAGTGTTTAAGCCATTATTATATGAAACAACCACAAAGCCACGTGACCTATGTTTTAAGCTCCTCTGAAGCTGTTTATTTTTATTAAGTAAACGTTTGTGGGCACCAGAGCTGGATATCATTCATCTCATCTCAGAAGGATGGGTCCTATCAGGTTAGTGTTACTCTTGGACTGGTTCAGTGTACATACAGTTGAAAATGCTTTCCTAACCAGAACAGCTCTGATTAGCAACAGGAACTCAGAAAATTCTTATCTTTTTAGTAGCTGATAACCAAGCAGTAATTTGCATGTGTGGGACAGAGAAGCAAGTTCAAGTGTGTTCTCCTTCTGACTTAAGGAACAGGTTTGAATGAAGACCTCTCACCCCACAGGAAGCTGCCGCAGTGCAAGCTGTTATTGAGACAGCGATCTGCAGATCAGTGGGGATCCTGTAGGCATCAGCATGCCATCCATGAAATGCCTGTCATCTCCACATTGGTGGTGGTGCCTCAGAAGAAGCTCTTGCTGTTTTGGAAATAAGACTACCTTTCAATTGTTTCACACTTTATTCCCTCTCCGTTTGACCCTCTCTCCCCTCCATGACTCAGAGAGATTCACAAGAGCTAATGGATATGTAATATGGTAAGTTCATAGATCAGCGTGCTTCTCTGCTTGCTGCCCGAGCAGGCTTCTGATCCTCAGTGGATTAAATATTACTATAGATTTAAATTTTAAATGGAACAACATCTCTTCAAAACATTCTGGCTTAAAGCCATGTAAACAGGCAAATTCCTTGCTTCCATAGATTCTAACCTAGTGTATCCCCTGTATGTATAGGGCCACTAAGTTGCTTAGGGGTTCAGGGTGTCTTCCTGAGGCTGAGGAAGCTGGAACTGTTCAGCCTCAAGAAGAGAAGGCTCAGGAGGGTTTTTACCGATGTATATCCATACCTGATAAGTGGCAGTGAAGAAAACTGAGCCAGACTCTTCTCAGTGCTATCCAGTGACAAGACCAAGAGGCAATGGGCATAAATTAAATGTATGAAGAAACCTTTTTTCGCTGTGAGAGTGGTCAAACACAGGAAGAGTTTTCACAGAGAGGCTGTGGAGTCTCCATCCCTGGAGGTGTTTAAAACCCCACAGGACGCAGGCCGGAGCAATCTGCTGTACTTGAGCCTGCTTTGGGCCGGGGGGGGTTGGACTTGATGATCTCCAGAGGTCCTTTCCAACCTGATCTATTCTGTGAATATAGTGTTTATGTCAGCAGATAAAATAGAACTTTTTTCTATGAAGAAATAGCTGAAGAATCTTTTAATATTACAGGTAAAATATGAATCTTAGGAGATGTTTTGTTTTGAGAATCCTGTCATATCTGCTTAGATTTTAAGTTTTATCTTAGTACACATCTCCTGGTGTTATACAGTTTATCTCTTACAACATAATTCTTCTATAGAAAAAAAAAACTAAACTAGAAATCAGTGCAGTAACTACATTTTTATCACCTCTGTTCCTGTGACAAATCAATGCATTTTATGGTGCCTAAACTTGAATCCTGAATGTAAAGGTCTGTTGAAGTGTTCTTGATTCATACTCAATTCTCAGTCAAGGTTGCTAGGCAGTATTTTAAGGAAGAATTCCAACAAGGAAACTGGAATTTTGCTATCTCAGCTGGAACAATTTTAGCTATGTAATTTATAACAGAGGTAAAGTGTAGTGCGAACTTGCATGCTTCCCTTGCTGCCTGGTTTCTGAATATGCAGAATGAGATTGTTCTGTTCTCTAGAATATTCAATTCAGAGTAACACATAAATATAAAGCCAGAATTTGACCAGTTGCCTTGAAGTGTTGATTTCATTAGCTAACAGCAAGCATCATCTTTGTATTTTCTAGATTTGCTAGTGAGCATTTACTCAAGATCAATTAAAATAGCTGTTGCATTCTCCAAGAAGGGAGTGTGTGTTTCTTCTTGAAGGGTTCCAAAAACGTGTTGGGGAATGAGAAGTCAGGGATGGTGTTGAGAGTTATCCTGAGATTAAAAAAGGGGCAATTAAAGAGGCAATGGCACCTGGAACAGGATTGGAAAGAGGCTGTGGCTGGAGCCAGGGAAGAAGCAATGTCTAGCACAGGGGGGTGAGGTGGGAAGGGAGAACAGTTTCCTGGGGAAGGAGAAGTAATAGGTGAAGTAGTGCTTTTTGGTTGGTTGGTTTGTTGGGTTTTTTTAAAAAAAGCTAAGGATTTGCAATTTTGAGCCAAATCAGTGACCTTCATTTGTCTCATTTTGAGTAAGTAGTGGCAGTGTTAAGAACTGGGAAAGTGAGATTCTGATGTTGGCTTTCTGGACATCTCTTTCAGATTCTTGAACAAATCCTGCTTGAGCAGACATCTTCAGGCATTAGAGATTTTAAATATAATTAACGTTCGGATGAACCTTCCCAAAATTCTGCTTTTAAACTTTGTTATGCATCTCTTCATTCAACTCAATGTTTTCAATCTTGTTTACTTCTTTACAGCTGTTAACACAATAGGGGAAAAGCTTCCAAGGAATGACTATTGATATCTGAGGGAACCTAGATCCTAATTGCAGAACAATCGCTGTGATGTCATGTGCAGATTTTATATGGTATTTGCAAGCGGCTGGTTACAAACAGCTGCAGATTGCGTAAAATGCCTATAAAGGTTTTGTTCTACTTGTAAAGCTACTGTGTACGCTGTCAAAAACTCGTGGATGTAGCTGTCTGGGTGTACTCCTGGTTTAAGTGAATTCTCATAGCGTGAAATCAACTTTGTGGGAAAAAAAAAAAGGTTTTGGCAATGTGATTTTTATCATTCGTACAGTAAAAACAAGCACAACTCTAAAAAATATAGTTATATATGATAACAAAAGCAACTCTCATCTATGTGTTTGCATCATTTTCAATAAGTTACACTAGCAAAAGTAGTTCTTGCGAGATTATTGGTGTATAGCATAAATGTTAGCCTGGTATAAAATTTTCCTGCAGAAGAAGATCTTGCCAATGAATGTGATCATTCTGGTAAAAATGGAAATGCAAATTTAATTAAAAGATTGCATTTCTTACTGTGAAATGTCAATGTACTTTACTATTTTTCTAATTATGAAATTGGTAACTAGGGATAACAACTAAATGTCAGCAAAACATAAAGGTATGGTAATTTTAGACTTGTAAGGATGTTTATAGAAATGTTTTCGTTATAAATGTACATATTTTTATTATTCTTGAAGATAATTATCAAAGGCTGGTCAACTAAATATTCTGCTTTTTGTTTTCCAGAAACCAGCAAACATTCTGGTAATGGGTGAAGGTCCTGAAAGAGGAAGAGTCAAAATAGGTAAACATTTTGAGAAAATATCATTGCACAGCTAAGGAATTACTTAAAAAACTGCATCTTCAGCGTAAGATAGAAACAAATCTTCATTATTCTTTGAGTGTATGTATGCACAACATCTAGTTCAATTTTAAATCTCATTTGCTGAGTTTACAAGCTTAAGACATTCCAAACATATTATTAGACATTGATAAAGCTTGCCAAGGATATCTGGTGAGATAAAAGCATCTGTGAGAAACAAGAAAGTAATAAGCACATAGAGCAACAGCTATGGCCAGGGTTCTTTTGGCTTCTACTATGATTAGTTCGTATAACATTGTTATTTATAAATTGTATTTGTTCTTAATTATTTTTATATCAATAACATCAATGCACATGTTTGTAGCGGTCCAAAGGTTTGCTATGCAAAAGGCGTCAAGGTGGGAAACACATGTAACTGTGGTGGTTTTTATTCAAAATCCAATTACCTGCGCAGATCATAAGCCTTAGTCATGTGGATATATACTTTTTTTAATAAAATGTGTGGCAATCATCAAGAAAGAAGTAATATACTGGAACCTCTTTTCTATTCATTGATTTTTGTTGTATTTGAAAATGTTCAGCTAACCATTTTTGATTCATATGCTTGTATTAGTTTGGGAAACTGCAAGAAAATTATACTTGGCATTTCATAACTTTGCAAGCAAAAAGATTTAGGTGAAGTTGTGTGAAAGATAAATTTCAGACTTGGATTAAAGTGTGTGGTTTTGAATATCCACCCAAATTTTGTACTTTCCCATCTAGCATTTCTTAATGTTACTTACAAGATTGTTTCTAGAGAGAATTGATGAGTTAAATGTAAGCATTGCTTTTATATAAAATACACTTCTGTAACACTGTACACTCACTAATTTCATTAATTCCCAGGTAAAAACTTTTTCCTGATTCTGGAGTTCATTCCTCCAAATGAAGTAGGAGGCATATTTTGAAAAATAGTGCAAAACAATCTACACTGCAGTTGTTTTGGTTTTGCACTTTGGGTAAATATATAGCAGTCACAAGGGCTCACAGTTTTGTAAACATATATAAAAATAAAAGATAAAATGTACATTAGAGACCTGCTACTATTTCTTAAGTTAACCAGGTTTCCATTACAGTTCTATTTAAATAAACAGGTGTCTGTTATGTGAAGTTTTACAATACCATGATGAAAACACTCAAAAGTCAAATGTCATCCTTCATAGTCTTATAAATGAAGGAAATGGAATTTAGCCTTAGATAAATTCAGCCCAGTATCATTATGAGTAATGCGTTGCTTTCTTAAAAGCTTTGATTTGTAAGTTTTAATGGTTTTGAGCTTTTGTTATAATTGCTTTTTGGCAACACTGTTAAATTCTGATTTATTTGTATTAAAATTTTAAATGTTCTTTTCCTATTTTTTTTTCTCTCCCCAGCTGATATGGGTTTTGCAAGATTGTTCAACTCACCTTTGAAGCCATTGGCAGACTTGGATCCAGTTGTGGTGACATTCTGGTACAGAGCTCCAGAGCTGTTACTTGGAGCCAGACATTACACAAAGGCTATTGGTAAGTTCTGTGCAAGAAATGGGTTTACCTTTAAGTTTTTTAAAGGAGGGTAGCCTTATAGTAGATATGATGATCAGCTCACCAGCTAGTTTTTTTCCTGAAGTAGCAGCATATAGAGTCTGATCCAATCCATAAAAGATTAATCCAGATTGAAACTTTGAGGACTATGCTTTTTTTTTTTTCAATATGAGTTAAGGTTAATGTTAGACATATTCAAAATGTGTTGTTTGTTTTGGTATGTTTAAAAATATTCTTTGCATTGTTTTTTATGGCTTTCTGATACGGGCTCAGAAACCTTGTGATCTTGTAAACCTTCAAAAGGGAGAGAGCTGTGGCTGTTAAAGTGGCGTTCTTCTAGGGCACTTCATGCCCAGATGCTTCTATGAAGTGTGTGGCTGGAGAAGGGCAGTCTCCTGCACTGTGCACAATCTGCAGATCATTCACTCCTGACGACTCATGGAACTCCATGTTCAGGAAATGCTGGTGGCCAGGCTCTTGTCTTCCTTCCCCCTTAGTAAGGTCCATAAGCACAATCAGCCTCGGTGCCTAGCTGCGTAGAGAATAAAAGTACTGAGATGCACAGGAGGTATCCTGTCTGAATGATTGTGTTCCTCTGTTAACAGGATTAAATTGTTCCTATATGTGGCTTTTTCTGTTATAGAAGTTTTCCGAGATGCTGTGTGGGCCTTTGTTCAGAGAGTTACAAAACACCGTGTTCTGCTGCTTGCCTTCACTACTCTGCCGTTTCATGGTTGTTCCAGCCAAGGCTGCTATTGTTTATCCCCAACCAGTTTCTTCCTTTTTTCCTGAGTAGCAGATCTGAAAGATGACACATGTAGTATTTGTACAAAGAGATTTACCCCAATATCCTCCAGAAACCTTTGCAAGGTCCCTGAGGTGACCCTGTTAGTGTCCTGTTTATTCTCCATGATGCTACAGAGCCTGTTACCTCCTCCCACAGCTCCTTTTGCCGGTGATTCCGTGCCCCAGCCAACCTGTATCTCCCACTGTGAGGCCAGTGTCACCCTGCAGCCCAAGTCCTGGGTGGCAGCACCCTCCCTCTGGTGCTCTGTCTCGGTTGAGGCCTCTGATTTCACAGGGTATCTTCTCCAGTGGGTGCTGGGGATGGAGCCTTGCAGAGCCCCCACCCCCATAGTTGTGGCACAATCCCACGTTGCCTGAAGCAGACTCTTAGGGTCTGCTTTGCATCTGCCACCATGCAAACTGGGATGCTAACTTCTAAAGTCTCTGTTTGCTGCACCCTGTAGTGGGTGAAAACAGTTACTAGAAGTGTTTAAAGAAAATACCAACAGGATTTCCTTAAACACCTTGTCCTGGTTCTGGCTAAACCACGTCACACCTGTAAATTGGATGCTTAACCTTGCAGAGCCCCCACCCCCATAGTTGTGGCACAATCCCACGTTGCCTGAAGCAGACTCTTAGGGTCTGCTTTGCATCTGCCACCATGCAAACTGGGATGCTAACTTCTAAAGTCTCTGTTTGCTGCACCCTGTAGTGGGTGAAAACAGTTACTAGAAGTGTTTAAAGAAAATACCAACAGGATTTCCTTAAACACCTGTAAATTAGATGCTTAAACTGCCCTGACTATGTTGATTTTGTGAAACATGGATGCAAGTCGACCAGATTACTGAGTGACCTGCGTGTGTGGTACTGGGAAGTTACCATAACTGACAGTTACATATTTTTGATAGATAGCATATTGTTTGCAGATTTAGGTAAGTGACATGTATCATTATTTCAGGATACCTCTTTGAAGAATGAATTAGTATAATGCTGCTGGTTTTTTAATTATGCCATAAATTACTTGGCTCTTGCCCTGAGGGATCTGTATTCTATACTAAAACACAGACAAGGAGTCCCTATCAAACTTTAGAGGATGATGATACTTCAGAGAGATCTGGTTTTGCTAGTAGTTTATTTTTTCTGAGGCTTTTATTTCGCATACCAGTGAATCCCTAGGAGGGGTGTGAACGGGTCATACAGTACCGGGTGTGCAGTGCAAGTGCTGAGGGCACTCAAAAAACAAAGTAAAAAATATGGAAATGAAAACAAGGAAAGTTGCAAGGTGAGATTTGTAGGCTGACTGAAGGATTAGAGGAGCACATGACTGGAAAGAAAAGAATAAAGGTACCCAGAGGTGATCTGTGTGCAGCTTTAAGGCAAAGAGAAGAAGTGGGTAACAAAATGACAGCGGTGATGTTCATGCAGTTTGAGCCCAGACTTGTGTTTTGCTTCTAGCATTATGTGCACTTAAAAAAAGGCAATCTTAATGAGCTAAGCACGCTAGTGAGAGTTTAGCTTGAATGCTAATGTGTTTGGCAAAGGATGCAACTCTTAAAGCTCTCAAATCTCTGTGTAAGAAATAGAATTTTAACATCTCTTAATATTACATAATTCTCAGGAGCCTTAATGTGTCGCTTTTTAGCAAAAAAAAAAGATTCTCATTTAACTGCTCTTCAGTTGGAAATAATAATTCAGAAGAAAGGTGATTAGCTACAGCAATTTATGAAAAAGGAAATGACAGGCTATTTCATATAGCTGCTTATTTTCCGTAGCTATTTTCTTATGCCTTTTATATAATACATAGTTTTGTCTAATTAGTAAATATCAGTAATATCAGGCTAAAAGCAATGTCATGCCAGCTTTAGTCGATTCTCTTCCAGTTCTGTCATTGTGAGAAATATTTTTGTTTGAATTTACTAGGAATGCATTGTCATCAGTTCTCTACTGCAACACACTGAACATTGCCCAACAGTTGCTACATAATTCACGTGTGTGGTTCGGTTTTTACTGGCTTGGTCTTGATTTTATTGTATTTTAAATATATTTCTGTATTCTGTATCTAATACTCTGTTCCTTAGCTTCACATATAATGTTAATTATTAGCAGCGTATCTGTAATATCCTGGATACTGTCTATTCTAGTGTCCAATTTGGTTTTGTTTTTCTTGTAATAAAACTTTTAGGTATGCTTGATTGCATGTAAGTAATTGTCATACATGATCAAAGAATGAAATTAGAATTTTACTTTTGTCTCAGGTTTTTGTCTTTGTTTTCTGGACCTGATCTTAGTTAAATTTTGTGGGTTTAACTTTGGGGAACAATTGGACTAAATACAGTCTGTTTAGAAAGAACTATGTATTACATAAAACAATATATAAGCATATTTCATTATTTTAGAGGTAATTTTCCAGTGACACTTTCCCCTTTATTTAATTTGTTCCTTCATAGTAATGAAATATTCTACTTTTAATTTATTTGCTTGTAGAACAAGTAGTTGTTCATCACATATATAACATCGTGTTTTAAGAAGATACAGGAGTCAGGAAAATACTGTTGCTGAAAACCAGAAATAGCTTTTGCTTTCTGCATGTTAAAAGGATTGTAAAAAGCCCATGTTAGAGTTTCATGGGGAATAATATTTAGTTTTCTGAACTGTGAACATTTATAATCTAAGCCCTACTTGTTAAAAAGTTTCCTATATAATCTGCTACCATAGTTACAAGCAACTAACTTACCAGATGAATGCAAATGGGGAAAATGGTGCTGTAGAAGCCAAAGGTCACTTTCTGTGCTCTTACCACAATATAAATCTGTACTAAATTTATTGTAGCCTGTGGAAGTTGGTCTGTGTTTCCAGCACCATAATTTAAAAGCAGAATCTGTTCTCATGTGTTCATCAGATACTATATACTCTAGCAAAGAAGTAAAAAAGTAACTTGAATAAGCTACAGGTGAAACCAAGTAACTGCGAAAATGTAAAATGCTTGCAATCGTGGAAACGTTAATAAAATTACTGAACTTTTAGAAAGTCTCCAGCACAGCAGAAAATGTCTTTATACTCAAAATACTAAAGAAAAAAGGTTAAAGTAAGTACCAAGGTACAGTGCTCCTTTCATTGATGGGCAAAGACTTCTGCACTACAATTTTAAGGAAAGTAAAGGAAATTACTGTGGCAAACTGAAGGAAAAGGTGTAAGCTGGTTTTCAGCTTCAAAGGAGATGTTAATCAGATTTTCTTTTTTCATTCTGGGGACATCAAAATAGAAGAGAATGTTTTAGTAAGTAAAGTAAGTAGTAAGAACTCTTTTTCATCCCAGGTTTTTAAGAAAGCACGTGCCAGTCTCTACCATGATTCATTCTGGGGCATCTTGTACCATAATATCAAGGAAATAGCATAAGCAAGGCTTGGGTTTTATTGAGTTGCAGCTTGTATAGTTAGCAGTGCTATCAAACAAGAACATGTTATCTTACTTCTCTTTACCACTTGCCTTAATTAAAGAAATAGTATATTTGATAAATGGCATCAGATGGCTTATAGTGTTTTAGATGGTTTGGATTTTGTTGGCAAAGGAGTTCTTTAGAGTGATCATTCAACCCTCCTGTAAGCAATACTAAACCACTGCCCTGCTCTGAAAAACGATGGGATTATTTATTGCAAAAAAATAAATCAGAGAACCCAAGAAATCTCTATTGCTTAGTTACCTTTCCTCACTTATTCAGGAATGTCAGAAATGGCCATGTGGCAACTGCATTTACCAGCCCGAACAAGACTGAGGTATAGAGAAACTGTAATTCAAAGCTTGGGCAGTGCACTGTCACCTCATTCTATTTCCAGACTAACATATGGTTATGGAAGCTGGAAATGTGTGAAAGGTATAAGCAGATACCAAAATGCCTTTGAAAGCAAATGTCACAGGAAAATATTAGGTATATCAGAGGGAATGAATTTATAATGAATGCTGGGATCCGTCAGAGTTTCAACAACTCCGTTCGACTTTATGCAGGGGAAAAAAGAGAGGGAGGTATCTGGGGTGTATTATGTAGGATTTAGGATGGAAATATGTGCATATGTGTTCCATATTGCCTATGCAGTGAGTCCCACACGTTCCGAGTGCATCAGATGTCCTTACTGTGCGCGCAGATTGTTGGCACGCTGGCCGGGCTGTGGGGCCTCTGGAAATCTTGGACCGATGCCTAA